TAATTTCTTTTTTTTTTTTTGAAACAGAGTCTCAGTCTGTCACCCAGGCTGGAATGCAATGGCATGATCTCAGCTCACTACAGTCTCAACCTCCCGGGTTCAAACAATTCTCCTGCCTCAGCCTCCCGAGTAGTTGGGATTACAGGTGTGTGCCACCATGCCCAGCTATTTTTTGCGTTTTTAGTAGAGACGGGTTTTTGCCATGATGGCCAGGCTGGTCTCGAACTCCTGACCTCAGGTGATACGCCCACCTTGGCCTCCCAAAGTGCTGGGATTATAGGTGTCAGCCACTGCGCCTGGCCTGTAATTTCATTTGTAAAATGTTTACTTTGTATAATTTCAAAACCATGCAGTTGACATAGAATAAACCCAATCATTTGTAATAAGTATACAAGTAATGCTTATACAAATTGACAAATTTTGGATTTTTATAATCTCAAACTTAGCATGTCAAAACTGAGCTCCTTACCACCCCTGTCTAAACCTCCTCTTCCCACAGTCTCCCCTAACTGAGTAAATTACAACTCCATTCTTCCAGATCAAAGGCCAAATACCGCATTTCCTCACAGTTCACATTCAGTTACCAAAATCCTACCAGTTCTACCTAAAAAGGCACCAAGGAAAAAAAAATCTGCTAGGCATTTCTCACTACCAGTACCTTCACAGTTACCACCGTTGCCCAAATCCCCATTTCTCATTCTGATTATTGTGGAAGACTCCTAATTTAATCTCCCTGCCTCTTCTCTTGCCTCATTTAGTGTATATGCAGCACATAAGCTAGAATAAACATGTCAGATTATGTCACTACTTTGTTCAAAACCTACCAAAGGCCACCCATGTTAGAGTAAAAGCCAAAATCTTTACAATGCTGTACAAAAAGAGGCTGGGCACAGTGGCTCATGCCTGTAATCCCTACTCTTTGGGAGGCAGAAGTGGGAGGATGCTTGAGCCCAGGAGTTTGAGACCAGCCTAGGCAACATAATAAGACCCTATTTCTATAAAAAGTAAAAAACTAGCCAGGTGTGTTGGTGCATGCCTGCATTCCCAGCTACTCGGAGAAGCTGAGGTAGGAGGATCGCTTGAGACCAGAAGTTAGTTAGAGGCTGCAGTAAGCTGTGATTGCGTCACTGCATTCCAGCCTGGGTCTCTTAAAAACAAATAAAAAGGCCAGGCATGGTGGCTCATGCCTGTAGTCTCAACACTTTGGGAGGCTGAGGTTGGCAGATCACCTGATGTCAGGAGTTCAAGACCAACCTGGCCAATATGGTAAAACTCCATCTCCACTAAGAATGCAAACATTAGCTGGGCATGGTAGTGGGCACCTGTAGTCCCAGCTACTCAGTAGGCTGAGGCAGGAGAATTGCTTAAACCTGGGAGGCAGAGGTTGCAGTGAGCTGAGATCGTGCCACTGCACTCCAGCCTGGGTGACAGAGTGAGACTTCATCTCAAAAAAAAAAAAAAAAAAAAAGAAAAACACCCTACACAGTCTCTATCCTGCTCTTCACTGCACCTTCTATTACTTCACCGGTGCCTCACTTACTCAGCTTCACCCACACAAGCCTCCTGGTTCTTCCTAGAGCATGTCAGATAAAATCCTTCTCTGGGCCTTTGTATCTATCCCTGGACCACTCTTCCTCCAAATATTTGCATCTTTGCATATTTACATAGCCTACTCCTCACTGTCCTCAAGCTTTTACTCATATAAGGCTTTCCTTAGCCACTCTCTTTAGTATTACAACAGCCACTCAGCCTGCCCCAGCTTTCTCTACTTTCCTGCTCTGGTTTTATCCGTATTGCCATATTGCATGTCACTAGGTACTACATAGTTCATTTATTTGCTTATTGTCTGCCTTCTTTCACTAGAATGTATATTCCATAATGGCAGGGATTTTTGTTTTGTCACTGCTGTGATCTCAGCATGTAGAACTGAGTAGCTGTTAAATGAATGAATGATGAATTGGTGGGAAAATAAGCAGGTCTTGCATGCTGTGAGTAGCTATCAGTGTTCTACAGAGAGAATGGAGAGCTTTGTTTGGTGGATATAAAAAATAAATTAGAGGCCGGGCGCGGTGGCTCACGCCTGTAATCCCAGCACTTTGGGAGGCCGAGGCGGGTGGATCACGAGGTCAAGAGATCGAGACCATCCTGGTCAACATGGTGAAACCCCGTCTCTACTAAAAAAATACAAAAATTCAGCTGGGCATGGTGGCGTGTGCTTGTAATCCCAGCTACTCAGGAGGCTGAGGCAGGAGAATTGCCTGAACCCAGGAGGCGGAGGTTGCGGTGAGCCGAGATCGTGCCATTGCACTCCAGCCTGGGTAACAAGAGCAAAACTCTGTCTCAAGAAAAAATAAATAAATAAATAAATTAGAAAGCGTCTACCCATTTATTTATTTATGTATTATTATTTTTTCCTGGGATTATAGGTGTGAGCCACCGTGCCCGGTCAACTCACTTCTTTAAATCACAGAAATAAATATGTAATTATAAATTGATATGTACAGGAGCCGGGCATGGTGGCTCACAATTGTAATCCCAGCACTTTACAAGGCCAAGGTGGAGCATCACTTGAAGTCAAGAGTTCGAGACCAGCCTGACCAACATGGTGAAACCTCATCTCTACTAAAAATACAAAAATTAGCCAGGTGTGGTGGTGCATGCCTGTAATCCCAGCTACTCGGGAAACTGAGGCAGAAGAATCGCTCGAACCTGGGAGGCGAAGGCTGCAGTGAAGTGAGATCACAGCACTGCACTCCAGCCTGGGTGACAGAGCGAGACTCCGTCTCCAAATAAATAAATAAATATTTATAGGGAGGAGAAAGGTGGGATGAAAGGTGAGGTGCAAGGTAGGGAGAAAGGTGGGGTGCAAGGGAGCCTTCTCTGAGGAAGCAGCATTTCAGAAGAGATCTAGAGGATATGTTGAAATTAGGTGAAGAGGAAAGGGGGAGAAAGGATTTCATGCAGGGAACAGCTCATGTAAAGGCCCTGCAGTCAGAATGCCCATAGAAAGTTTCATGAACTGAGGAAGGCCAAGGTGATGGCATCAAAGAGAACACAGGCACAAGCAAGACTACCAAGACCACTTATCAGTATCTGTATTTTGGTACAATTAAATAATTTGAATTACCAGTTTTGAGCTTTTCTATAATTGAGGAATGAATGGCTTACCTCCTTAAAAGAGTTTCCATCCTGAGTAAACAGTGTGGGGATGGGACTAGGGAACAGAGTTATATTTAAGAGCAGAAGGCTTTTATGTTTTTTCTTTTATTTATTTATTTATTTATTTATTTACTTACTTACTTACTTTGAGATGAAGTCTCGCTCTGTAGCCCAGGCTGGAGTGCAGTGGCTGGATCTAAACTCACTGCAACCTCTGCCTCCCTGGTCTCTGTTCAAGCAATTCTCCTGCCTAAGCCTCCCGAGTAGCTGGGATTGCAGGCACCCACCACCACAGCCGGCTAATTGTTTCTATTTTAAATAGAGACAGCGTTTCATCACGCTGGCCAGGCTGGTTGCAAACTTTTGACCTGAGGTGATCTACCCGCCTCTGCCTCCCAAAGTGCTGGAATTTCAGGCGTCAGCCACTGCGCCTAAGTCTCACTCTGTCACTCAGACTAGAGTGCAGTGGTGCGATCTCCGTTCACTGCAACATCTGCCTCCTAGGTTCAAGCGATTCTCCTGACTCAGCCTCCCGAGTAACTGAGATTACAGGCGCGTGCCACCACAGCCGGCTAATTTTTTGTATTTTTAGTAGAGACTGGCTCTCACCATGTTGGCCAGGCTGGTGTTGAACTCCTGACCTCACATGATCCACCCGTCTCGGCCTCCCAAAGTGCTGGGATTACAGCCATAAACCACCGCGCCCGGCCCAGAAGGCCTTTTCAACATCCCTTAAATATAACCTGAGCACTGCTTTGTGCTCAGGGCCTGAAGTTGGATGGGGTTACCTTTATCCCTTGTTTATCTGGGTGTCATTTAGATATTTTTTTCAAGTGCAGTGAAGAATTAAAGATCTCCTCCACCAAAAATGCTCCCTGTGAGTGTGCATTTTGGGTTTTAATATGTTGTCTGATGGGTTTGACAGGCTGGCGGTCCAAGTTGAAAAAGATCTGTGGGTGCCTAATATTCAAAGATGCCCTTATGAAACTTTAGGAAGACCCGACATGGCTTGCCTCAATTAAGAAAAATGTGGAATATAAATATATTTGTACTTATACAAATATATTCCTTTTTTCTCCTCTGCCTTCTTCCTTCTCTTTCTTTTCTTTTCTTTCTTTTTCAACTCTCCGTTTAGAGTTAAAGACTGGAGCTAAGAAAAGGAGAGCAATAGATAGATGAAGTGTTCCCGGATTGCTGCCCCACGCTCTTGGTAATAAAGGAAAACTTGGTCAAAAGTCAATGCTTATGGTAGTAAAAGATAATGTAGTGGCTTGGCTTCTTGACTGGAAACTAGGACGGGTAGAGAATTTGAGAGAAGTGGGCCCCAGAGCAAATGGGTTGCGGGTAGGGGGAGCCAGCTCCAGCCGGGTAATGAAGCCCATTTCAGCGTCATTCCTTTCCCACGGCGGGGCAGCCTTCCTTCCCCGGGCCTGGCTGGAGGTGGAGGCGGGCCCAAGGTTAGGGGGTCAGCTTGCGCACCTGGGGCCGGGAGACAGTTACATTTTGGCGGAAAGTTGGCAGCCACGGTCCCCCTCCCCTGCTTTTCTCCACGACTCTCCACCCCCCTCCGGGTGATACAACGGAGGTGGGGGGTTGGGGGAACTGGCCTTGTGTTTTGGAACAGCTGCAGCCGGCGCTGGGCCCGCCTGGAATGCGGGAGCAGGCTGCGCACCAGGACTTTTATGGAAACTTGCTGCTGGAGACGGCGGCGGCGGCGGCGGCCAGAGGACTCCCAGCGGCTGGAGCAGAAGAGTTAGCGGCCAGAGCTCCCAGACCCCTACCCACAGCCAGGCAGGACGCGCACTGTCTCTCCGCGCGCAAGGAGGACCTTCACCAGTCACTGGCTCCTGGAGGGTGAGAAGAGTTGGGGGAACGTGGGCTGGGGGGAGTGGAAGACGGAGGTGTCGGGTCCCCTGGCTGGGGCGAGGGCGGGGGCGGGAGCGGCGGCTGCCGAGAGGCGCTCGGGGTCCGCGGCTTCTGGCAGTGCTCCGCTGCGGTCCAGGACGCGCTGGGCGCTATCCAGCTGTGGCTCCGCGCTGGCCCAGTCCGGAGCAAACCGGCCCTCGGAGCCGCGTCTTGCGGGCTCGGCGGGGTGCGGACCAGAGGCTGCCCCCGTATCTGAAAGCGTCAGCCGGCCTCCGGCTTCTGGTTGCGAAGCCCTTGCCCTGCTCCCTGTGTCCTGACAGCTGAGTTTCGGGTGCGTTCCCCACTGCAGGGAGGGAAGCCTCCGTGCCCTCTGTGAGCGGAGTGGGTGCCAGTCCCTCGACTGAACCCTTGGGGTCCTAACGGGGGAAGTTCAGTGCCGTCCCCCCCACGTGCCCCCGCCGCGATCTCTGTCTCTGCAGCAGAGCCAGTTAAGAAATCCTTTCTGTTGATCACCAGTGGTCAATTAAAAAAAAAAAAAAGAATCCTTTCTGATCGGTCCATATAGAAGATGGGGAGAAATATGATTTAACAGCCTTCTCCCCCCCACCCCCTCATATCCCCGCACTCCTGTCTCCAGACGGCTTTTTTCGTGATTCTGCCCGAGGTGGGATGCTGGGGGTTGAGCAACTAGAGCTGGAAGTGTACGTAGTTTACGTGAGTGAAGACTGTAGTCACCTCTTGAAAACTCCCCTAGACCATTCCAACTATTGTAAACTGTAAAACGTTCTACAAATGTATTAGCATTGACATTTATATAGAAAATGACGAAGTTGAGAGGTTATAGTTGGTTACTGCAATGACTTAGAGGTATTCATTTTATAGTTATTAAAGGCCACAACGTGAACAAAGTTGGCAGAGAGATAACAAGGTAAAAATAGCATAAAGATATGTCCTAACAAAATGTCCTTGGTAAAGAGACGGGTAGAGAAAAGAAGCCTTAATAAAGAAATTAGTTCCCTGACCAAAGAAACGGGAACATCATTTATCGTTAAGTTTTGTTAATGAAATCGTGTAGCAGCGGTCCATTGGCCTGCGAGTCACAACATAACTATGTCTTAGGTAATGTGATTAAATAAACTTAAATATTTATACCATCTTAGTCACACGTTATTGAGTGGACCACAAAATTTCCCCAGCTAATATTATCCTTTTACAGATAAAATTACTGCAGTAAGAAAACTTTGTCTCGAATTCTTTTGGGTTTGGGGTAATGTTAAGAAAAAAAGCATAATTAATCAAATGAGAAAAAGGTTTTTTCTGGGAGGTATAATTTGTGTAAGTAAGCTTTGATTAAATGTAGCTATTTAATTTTTTTCTTCCTTACCGCTATTAGCACCGTATTTTTGCAGATATTTTATATTTTGACTAATGCTTCTGGGGAGCAATTTAAAGAAAAATGCATGCAATTATGTAGTTTATTTGCAACAATTCCCTTAAACAGTTCTAAGCTAAAACCACAACAAAATTCTTTTAAATCCAGTTTTCCTCATTATAGTTACAGGGTAATCCAGTTCTAATAGAAGATTCACACTTTAAAATCCATTATGAATTGAAATGTAATGAATAGCAATTTTTCCTGCTCACCTTAAAATGGAATTTGTGCTATTTTTGAAAATTTGACATGTAAGACTGATCATTGTCAAAATGTATGTCATCTTGAGATGACTATATTTAGCATCAACAAAGGAATGCATTATCTAGGTTTTTGAACAGTATTTTTCCCCTGAAACTTCACTTGAAGTATTTAGGTTAGGGTTTCATTTTTGAGCAGAATGAAAACTAAATATGCATATTTGGATGAGATTAATCAGGGATTTAGATTGCTTAGAATCTGAGCAGCCTATAATGATATACTTCATTTATTTAAAAAAAAACAAACCTGTTATCTTTGAAATACCCTAAAAGACAAAAAAGACAGACAAAAGGAGATTATTTAAATATGAGAGTTGTTGGCCGGGCGCGGTGGCTCACGCCTATAATCCCAGCACTTTGGGAGGCCGAGGCGGGTGGATCACGAGGACAAGAGATCGAGACCATCCTGGTCAACATGGTGAAACCCTGTCTCTACTAAAACTACAAAAAATTAGCTGGGCATGGTGGCACATGCCTGTAATCCCAGCTACTGAGGAGGCTGAGGCAGGAGAATTGCCTGAACCCAGGAGGCGGAGGTTGTGGTGAGCCGAGATCGCGCCATTGCACTCCAGCCTGGGTAACAAGAGCGAAACTCTGTCTCAAAAAAAAAAAATAAATAAATAAATATGAGAGTTGTACACACCTATACGAAAGAAAATGATGCAGTGAATGTGTAAAAGTATGTAACAGATAGGTAAAAGTCTAAACGTTTTTATAGAAGAGGACTTTTAGTATATTTTGTGGTTATTTAGGCCACGCACACAGAACATATTGGTAGTTTATAAATTGGAGAGAAAATGATTTATAATCCCATTCTTAACAATTTCACATATTTCTGTTCTTGTTTAATTAACTGTGGTCCATATCACCTGTATAGTTTCTTTCATGTTCTCTTTCTGGGTTGATAATTCCACAGTTAGATATTACATACACTTGAAATGGCTACATTTTCTTTTTCTGTTTAAATATTCAGTGTGTAGTTTGGCTTATAGTAGTTTACTTTCTATACTCTAGGGTGGATGAATTTGCACCCGGAAATCCACCTTAAATTTCAGTGTAATTTGTATTATAATGTTAATATACCATATTATATTTATGGTTAAAAATTATGGAAAATGGAGAAAGGGGCTCTTATAATCTGACACCCTTACTGTTAGAATTTCGATGTATTTTCTTTTATTCTTTTTCCCATGCATAGAACTCTTTCTTTTCGCATTGACATATCTCAATAAAACAACACGTGGAAAGCATCTCATGCAGTGTCAGCCACCCAGTAAGTGTTCAACAGGTGATTCGTTTTCTTCCTCCTTTATTTCCTTCTTGACGTCTCTTCCTTTTTACTCTCAGATTAGAAGACAAGCATATTGGGGCTCCTATGTGAGGTTTCGAGGTTGGTGAAATTCACTTCTCACCTTCCATCCTGTGCTTATTCCCTGTCTTTTATTCCCCTTTGACACTGCTTCACGCTTTCTGGCCAAAATAGGCCTCCCCTTTGACCCTTTCCATTTTCTCAGTGTTGTCTATTCATTTAGACTAAGGTCAGAAATTGACAATCAAAAAGACACCTTTTACTTCAGGATCACTAAGTGTGAAAATAAATGAAAAAAAAAAAAAAAAGAATTAAAAAATAAAAACCAGAAAGAGACTTTTGGGGCTGGGCCTGGGGGCTCATGCCTGTAATCCCAGCACTTTGAGAGCTGAGGCGAGAGGATCCCTTGAGCCCGGGAGTTCAAGACCAGCCCTGGCAACATAGTGAGAATCCCCATCTCTACAAAAAAATTAAAAATTAGCCAGATGTGGTGGTGCATGCCTGTAGTCCCAGCGACCTGGGAGGCTGAGGTGGCAGGATCGCATGAGCTCAGGAGGCTGAGGCTGTAGTACACCGTGCTCATACCACTGCCTCCAACCTAAGTGAGAGAGTGAGGCTCTGTGTCAAAAAAAAAAAAAAAAAAAGACACTTCTAGCCACAAATACATTTAAAAATTGGTACATTTTACATTAAAATAGGGATTTGCATCCTTTCTTGAAAAATTGGAAAATCTGGGCAAAATGTGGCTTCACCTTTTTAAAGAAATTATTTTTATTTCAATAGCTTTAGGGGTACCCAAGTGGTTTTTGGTTACGTGGATGAGTTGTAAAACGGTGAAGTCTGTCTGGGCATGTAGTATACTTGTCATCCAAATAGTGTACGTTGTACCCAAAGGTTCACATTTTTGCATAGGAACAATATACTGGAACTAAATAGTGGCTGCCCCACAGGCAGGCAGGTCACATGCTCTGCATTTGACATAGCCTCTGAGATTCCCTATTGTTTTAAACAAGTCATACATACACTCATTTACATTGCCTGCCAATTATATTATATAACATTACCTTACATTACATTTATATTACCTGACCCTGAACACTGGAGTATGCAGTCCCCGATCTAAATATTAGGGCAAGTATATCTGATGCCTGATACCATGGAAAGTCTGCTACACTTAGCAATAGGAACTGGGACTTTAAACATTGTAGATATTGGTTAGCAAACCTCTAAAATAATGTGATCATGGGAGTAGGAGAAGAGGTTAGCATTCATTGACACTAATTGTTATTGTCGATTAGAGCTGGAAGGGACCGTATCATATGTTGCTAACCAAAACAAATAAAATACTTTCACTGGTGGGATTTTAGAAAGCATAAGGGAGATAGTTCTGCTAAAGAAATATTTCCTAGGATTTCATAAATAAATTTTTTTTTGAGACAGTGTCTTCCTGTGTCGCCCAGGCTGGAGTGCAATGGCATGATCATGGCTCACCGCAGCTTCTACATCCTGGGCTCAAGCGATCCATCCTCTTACCTCAGCCTCCTGAGTAGCTGGGAATACAGACATGTACCACCATGCCTGGCTAATTTTTAAAATTTTTTGTAGAGACAGAGCCTCACTGTGTTGCCCATCTTTGTCTCAAACTCATGTTTCAAGCATTCCTCTTGCCGCAGCCTCCCAAAGTGCTGGGTTTACAGGTGTGAGCCACCATGCCTGGCCTTCTTAAAAATTCTACTCCTTGTCCATTTAAGAAGTGTTTAGGAGAGTTTCTGTGACTCCTACAGCTGGCTATAAAGAGGAGTTTACTGTTTCTCTTCTGCCTCCCCATACCACTGACATGTTTGGAGCCAGAGGCCCAAACATGGTCTTCCCATTCCCAGCTGTGTCCTTCAATGAAAGACCATCTTCCACTTGCAGAGATGGTGAGGAGGCCCAGACTCCAGTGATGATTACTGCATCAATTTGCTTGGAAAGAGAACTCCTGAAG